TTTTAATGCCTACATTTTTTTTTTACATTTTAATGCCTACATTTTTTCTACATTTTAATGCCTACCTTTCTTTTACATTTTAATGCCTACCTTTTTTAAAAAAAAAAAATAAATAAAATTTCCAAAATGTAAAAGATGCAATGCAGGGGTCATTATTGTCCAGTTGGTGGAAAGCTGGGATAGAGGGAGGGAAGGAGATATTATATATTCTCGTTTGTATCAGTATGTACCAAAAACTAGGAAAGGACCGCTGTGAGCTCACGCGATAACAAAAGGTGAAAAGAAATGCTGTTTTGAGAAATGAGAACCTGAAGCATGCTTCCAATATGTTTAGATGTTTATTTCAGTGTTTCACTTGCATGGTCAAGGTGAATAGGCAGACATCACAGGCTAACAGATCAGCTTTTCTCTTACCAACTCTCTACCCATCTAAATATCACCTGAACTAGACAGAGAGAGACAGTCTTTTTCCTTATACAGGTAATTCAGAACTGAACTACCTCAATCCCAGCTGTCATTAGGATTATATTAACAATAATTTATTTGTTTTATTCTCCTTTGGTCAAGTGGGTGACTGCTTTGAACATGCCACTTCACTGACTTTATTGCTGATCATAAAATGTGAAACCCTTGAGACCAAGATAAAATTAACACCTTTCCCTTCTATGCAGGTGTTCCAGTCATAGAGTCGCAATATGAACATATTAGAGTTGGTTATAAAATGTTATGGTAGAAAAATTTTTCTTGTTGAACTTTGTTCCATTATTAACACTAAGTTTTTATGTGATTGCCGAAAAGTTCAATAATGTTCAGTCAACTTCCTGAAGACAACTTAAACTCATGACTTCATTTTTTCTATATGACTATTTTGATTAATGGCTCTGTATACAGTCAGTGTGGTGATGATACAACATTCCTAGGTGTAAAGCTTCCTTGACTGAAGTCAATGGCAGATGATTCCTTCAATGTAACCAATGGCCATGTGACCATGACCATTGCAAGCCTTCAAGCTGGAGAATATGGGCTGTGGTTTGGCCTGGAAAGAGATGGGTTCCACCTTGGTGTAATTGCCTAAGATACACTATACATTAATGAATAACTCTCTAGTTTTTAATCCAGATATGTAGAAAGAACTGGCCAGGTGTTCAGTTGTGCAGTAACCCTATGAGCACACTTATGGGACTGATATGAATGAAATGTGTCAGTGTAAACTGATACCAGGAGGATATGATTTAAATCTTTTGTCTCACTTCCACTGTTATTTCTTCAAAACTTAATCTGAAATTTCTGGAAATTTGAAGACAAAAAAATCATTTACTTGCATCCATATATATCTTGAAATTGTAAATTCCCCCTGTATAATATGGCAATAAGACCATACAACATGATGAAGTTATGGTATCAATGGTAAGTAGATTTTACTGGATGCAATTGCAAAGCTGATCTGGTTTAGATTCAGAGTTTTCCTTCTCCTAGATTAGCTGTTAATTTAAAGCTAGAGAGTCCAGTCTTTTGCTCTTTTTAAAATCTGTAGCTGAAAAGAGAAGAGATAGAATCATATCTAAGTGTAAAGAGAATAAAAACTGTCTCAGAAGGACTTTGTTTTTTTTTTTTGTGATGTTAACATTAAGATATCCACATCTAACAATAACTTAGATTAATTGAACTCAGTCAAATATTATTACAGTTATAAGAAACTGAAAAATGTCAGACATAAATGGGTTACCTGGTATATCATCATCATCATCATCATCATCATAGCCGTGTTTTTTGTTGAGGCATGACTGGAAATTAAGGATCTCAATTTGCTTCTCCACATTACTGTCAACATACTTAAACTTGTCATAATAATTTGAGGCAAGTTTTTACAAGGCCAGATGCTCTTCCTGACAAGGTTGTCAAAGTACGTCGAGTGTTTTTATTGAGACACCATTTCTAGGGAGGTTGCTATTCAAGGCTTGAGACCCCAACCTAGCCACACACACACACATGTTGTCCATTGGCTCCTATAAGATGTTCATCTGCCCTTTATCAGGTCTTGTTTTTCATCCTGTTGGGTGTCATGCTACCACCCTCATAAACAAAAAAAAAAAAAAGAAATGGTAGTTGGCCTGAACTGACTGTATAGGAAGTATATTTTGTATGTTTTGCTATGCATCATCAGACCCATTTAGTAGTGGTGGACCTGGGATGAGCTGTCCTCCCCCATACCTGTGAAAGTGATGTAAACTAATTTTAGTACGCAAATACTTACAAACTGACCTCACTGATTTGAAGGCTACCCCACTCCTCAAAACACTGGTGATGGGACTGTGTATCATGTATCATAAATTAAATTTATCAACTATTTTCTTACCTCTTTTATATCTTCAATGCATGTGTGGCCAAGTGGTTAGAACATTCTTTTTCTGACCATAAAATCCTGGTTCAAATCTTACAATGGATGATTGGTCAGGGTTTGCCTCTTTCTGGTGTTATTGGCCTGAGGAGGTGAATCCAATGCACAGCACCTTCCATAACAGGCCTTATAAATGAAATTGGGTAGATGGAACTGTCTGAAACATGTCAATGGTTGTGCTTGCATGTAAGTTACTGAGGGTTTGGGTGTACCAAGTCAGCATAGTTGCAGTATAAACAACAAAGCAAGCATCTGTAATAGGGTGTGGTTAGCTGCCCTGGCAGGCAGGTGTACTCAGAAATGGGTTGTAGCCTGCCATTATTTATATCTTCTTTCAGTGATGACTTTCACTTTTTCAAATAATTATGAGTTTTTGGCACCCACTGAATATAAAACCCGACATGACAGAGTGGGCCAATATTTGCACTGGAAAATCTGCAACTTCTACGGGAAGAAAACTGAAAGAAACTGGTATGAACACCACCCAGACCCGGTTACGGAGATAGGACCTGTTACAATTCTATGGGATTACACAATACACACTGACAGAACAATCAAGTCCAACCGGCCAGATATTGTTATTAAAGACCACAAACAAAAACGGTGCCTCCTTATTGATATGGCAGTCCCTACTGACTGCAATGTATCTTTGAAGATATTCAAAAAGTTGTCAAAGTACAAGGACCTTGAAATAGAAATCTCTAAAATGTGGTATATGGGAACATCAACAATCCCTGTTGTAGCTGGAGCCCTAGGACTGGTTGGAAAAGATTGCAGTAGACTAATTGAAGGGATTCCTGGAAGTCCATGCCTCAAGGAGATACAAAAAATTGTTCTGACAAGTACAGCCCACACCTTACGAAGGGCTTTATCTATGTAATTTAATTTTTTTTTTTTTTTTTTTTTTTTTTTGTCAGTGGAAAGTGTCATGATGCCATTTCTAACCTTAGGCCCCTGGACGGGACCTGGAAAGAAATGTGTAAACGCCAGAAATCAAAAAAAAAAAAAAAAAAATAATAATAATAATAATAATAATCATCATCTACTGTATAATAATTACTGTTATGTATTTATTTATATCTTTTATCTCATTTTCTATAGTGGAAAGGAAGGTAAATCAACTTAGGTACTAAATTTATAAGTGGTTAATTCCCTTAGACATTTTAATACTCTATACTAATATTTATCTTTAGATAAAACTAGGCCACCCTTGACCTGTTGGGTCAACCTTGTTGTGTTACTGTTTAAATTTAGTTTCATGAAGAGTTTGTGAAAGTAGAGATATTTTAAAAATAGATTTATTTGCAGTTATTGAAGTTGCTTTCAACATTAAAAAATTGTCTGTTTGAAGAAAGTTGAAATAAAAATATTTAAAATATTGTTTGTTTAAAGAAATCTGAAATGTAAATAAGCATGCACTCAATCAGGGGAAGGTGGAAAGAGAGAGAGAGAGAGAGAGGTGAGTGGAAAGAGAGAGTGTTTTTTTTCTTCATTTTCTTTCTCTCTCCTCGCTTCCTATACAATAATAAATTTATATCTTTCAATCAGGGGAAGGTGGAAAGAGAGAGAGAGAGGTGAGTGGAAAGAGAGAGTGTTTTTTTTTCTCCATTTTCTTTCTCTCTCCCCGCTTCCTATACAATAATAAATTTATATCTTTCTTTCACCACTCTCTATATATGACTTTTGGCAAAGACACAAGCAATGTTCACAAACTTTGTGTAGTAATAAAGATTAGTTTCCAAACATAATGAACCATTTAATTAATCCATTCTCTTCCTAATACGTTTCTTAGAGAGCAGTCTTATTTGTTCAAGCCTTTCTTGAGAGACACTCAGATATGTGAGAGATATAAGTAATTGTCTTGCTTCAACTTGGTTTAGTTGTCATGTCTTTGTCATTCTGTTACTAATATTCTTTTTCTTTCAAGAGGTGTTTCCATTTTGAGTCACTGTTATAAAAAGATATTGAACACAAAGCAATATTTATAATTTATAAGAGTAATCAATGAGTCACAATTATATATTGACCATCTAAAAATATGAAGAGAACAGATTAATTAAATGGTTCATTGACTTCTATTTTAGTTGTGAATTCTAAATCTCCACTTTATTGAATCTCAATACATTGTTTCAAAACTTTTGTTTCAATGCATCTAAATATTAAAACTTTCTAATGATTGACATCATTTTTTACAGCACAGGTATACACTAGTAATAATAATAATAATAATGATGCTACTATTACTACTGATTCTTTCTTCTGTCCACTATAAAGCAATTTTTATTGAATCTCTTAACTTTTATCACTCTGTATGTGACTTCATTTGTTGTACAAAAAGTTTATCCTGAAACTGAATGTGACTCTGATTCCTAAATTTGAATGTGTTTGAATATCTTAGTTGTGTTATCATATCCTGCTATGACAATAGAAAACAACTTTGAATGAAATTAACAATGAGGATACTGAAATTGAGAGGCATTGAAAAAGAATGCAGTGGAAAGGGAAGTAATATTAATAATACAGAGTGCTAAAAGTTAATTCTAAAAATAAATTTTTGATTGGCAATTTTTCTATTCATTTCTTTGTTTCTCCTCGCTTCCAGTTTTTATGTATACCAGTGATGGGCAGTGTACATTTAAAGAATACAACCCAACCAAAGTACTCCACCTTGATCCCAACGTTGACCAGAGGATTTCTGCTGATGGGTCGAGGTCAGCAAAATCCACAATATGTACCGTAACATTTGCTATCAAATCTAATGAGAAGCTAAAACTAAGCATGGACTTTCTGGAAATTCAAACCTGTAACATGACAGCCAGCTTGTATTTACTGCTTGAAAGGAATAAACTAGAAAAAAGAGTAAGTAGCTTTTGAAGAATTTTGCTTATTACTGATAACTGCTATCCTCAAATTAATTTTTTTTTTTTTAAATAATTTAATATATAAATAACATTTTCTGTTTTAGTGTCTGTGATTATTTCTAACTCTTAACCTGTTGAATCCTTTAGTATTGGTTTAAAAGTACAATGCACTAGCATCTCATTCTTTTTTCTTTTATGTACCATATTCCTTGAGGACATATGTAACCATGACCCTCCACATCTTCCTGCCCTTTGAAGCTCTTAATAAGATTTGTCTTTTTGTCATTTCTCTCAAACCCTGTTCTACCATCCATTTACTCAAGCTTATCAAGTATTTTTTGCGCTGATTTCCTCTTTTCCGCTTTCCCTCAATCTGTCCTGTGAGTATCAGATTTTCCAAGCCCTCTTTCCTTATTATGTGCCCCAGAAATTTCAACTGACTCTTCTTGATGCTAAGTATAAGTTTCTTTTTTGTTTCCATTTTCTCCAAAACCTTGTCGTTGCTCACATGTTCAGTCCATGGTGTCCTCAGCATCTTTCTGTAGAACCACATTTCTGTTGCTTCAAGTCTCTTCTTCATTTTTGAGAATATTGTCCAGCATTTGCTGCCATACAGGAGGACAGATATCACGTAACAGTTCAGTACTCTTTTCTTTGTTTCTAATGAAATTTTGCATCTCATTACCACAAAGAATTACATAGCTTAACATTTTCATATAAGCAACTTTGTACAAGCCATTTACAACCCTTCACTATTGATTTGTATCCCCATATCAGTGAAGGGGTAAGATTTCAAGGCTCATCTGCCTAAAACGTACAAAATCTCTTTTTTTTCTTTTTTTTTTTTTTTACTGTATACTGTAATTTCAATACCGGTAACCATTGGATAGCGAAAAGACTATCTGCTTGGACAACATGAGTTATTCCCCCTGATGCAATATATGAAATAACAGGCGAGTCAATCGTCTGCTAGTCAGTAGTAATTTTTGTATGTAGATTTAATAACATTTTATTGTCTTTTTTCATGATCTCAACATTGGGTTTTAAAATTCACTTACATTGAACTAAATAGAACATGTAGAATTTTATATTTTTTCTAACTAAAAGAGACATAACTGCAGATAAATGAAAAAATATTTTTGTTACTCTTTTCATTGCCATACTGAAAAATGTCAATGTCTTATAGAGGCATATAGCAGGTGTGGCCAAACTTGCTTAATGTAAGAGCCACATACAATGAAGTAAAAGTTGTTACATATACATATTTCTTACAAAATTTTGTTACATATTCAAAAGTTGTTACATATACATATTTGTTACACAATTTTGTTACATATACAAAAGTTGTTACATATACATATTTGTTCCAAAATTTTTATATAAATATTAAGAAATATATGTATGCAATAATATTCATTCGTGTTTGCAGTTTCATGAACTGTTTATTAACCATGAACATTAAACTTACATTTTAATTAAATGGGGTCTCAATTCATACCCTGTACATAATTATAAAGCTTGAAATTTTTATTTACATTTTATACTGTCTGTGATGAAAAAAGTAGCCCAGTCAGCATATTTCCATAAGCTGCATATTAAAGGTCAAAGTGTTTTGTGTGACTTGCAAGCCATGTTTTGGCTAACCCTGGCATATAGCATAAAATCTAATATTTTAAAATAGGTAATGTAAAACGATTTTCCTGTAATTATATTGTCATTATGAAAAAAAGCCTTAAATTGATTTTTGTTACTTCCATCTTATATTGAGAAATCTCTGGCAATTGAATGATTTAATATTGTAATAAGAGATTCAATAATTTAAAAATATGTTTATACTGTTTACCACATTTATTCACTTAATTATAATCTTATGCAAAATACAATCCCCTATTTTGTATACAAAAGTACAGAGGAAACCTTTTATTATAATCATGGATAATAGCATTAAAATTCTTCTCTCTATATATATATATATATATATATATATATATATATATATATATATATATATATATATATATATATATGGAATATTAGTGTTTAAGCCTTTTATTATATCCTTACTCTGTCCTGGACATTGAGTTCTACCTGGATTCTTCCTCTTGAATTTTATTCTAAAATATACATGTATGGGTATTTATATATTTTGCATACGTATGTATATTTACCACTAATATTATCTCTCTCTATATATATATATATTTAATTTTTGTGGTGCAGAATTTAATAATAGCTAGGAAAAGACTAATTTTATAAGGCATTTTTAAAAGAAAAAGCTAAAAAAAAACCCAACCAGTTTCATCCCAGAACTTATCAAGTTTATTTTTCTGGGAATAGAAAATTTATAAAAGCATGTAAATTAAATTAATGAATGGAATAGAATGGAAGAGAAAAAAAAATGAATTTCAAGAAACTAGATTCCAATAACATTCAGAACCAGTAAGCATTCCTTCTGTTTACAAAGGGAAGGCTCACAGGATCTAATATATAAGGACTCTAGAACCTTGAGGTGAAATGTGGAGTGGGACCTAGATAAAATCAAAAAATGGTCCACACTAAAATTAACCACACATTTCCTACTATTTATTATATGCTCAGCAATATCAGAGCCAGAACTATTGGTTAGTTGGCTCTTCCTGGCAATATATATATATATATATATATATATATATATATATATGAGAAAGAGTTTGCTAACATTTGTTCCACTTTTAACTTTGGAATTTATTTTCTTCTTAATTTCTCCAATAATTGATTTTCTCCCTCTCTATGTTATCTTATAATCTTAAGAGGATAGATGGGAAACTAAAATAACTTTATTCACCCAAGTTTAGGAGCATCTACTGTAGTATCTCAATAGGAATATTTTAATATTAAATATAAAAGTTTGCAAGTTTAGTTCACAGTTTACAAGAAATGAGCACAGTATGGAGACTGAGTTGGCATTGAGGATGTTCCTATATGTATGTATTGTGTATGCACAGTTTATTAGGGAAATTTAATTTTCTTCAGTAAAAGCATTCATCATTAAATTTGCTTATTTAACAAATCATTTGTATATGGATACGTAAATATTTTAAATGAATCTTGTGAAAAAAAAACAAATTTGTTTACTTAAAATTTTGCAAGTCCAAAACTGACTTCTTTGCTTGAGTTGAAGTTCTTATTCCTTTTCTTGTAAATCCTTGATATGTCCCGGAAAGGGATATATTTGAACGAAGTAGCTAAGATGTTTTGGCTACTATAACCAAGTAGAATATGGTAGCAGTAATCAACTGATAAGCATATTAGTTGCAGGTAAGTGTAGATCAATGGCGTAGTCCAATGGGCGTCGTTATACACTTAGCTCTCAGACTAAGGCTCTGACTCTGTCGTACCTACATGTCCGTCTGTATTTATGACAGACACCAGCTGATCATATTCCAGTGAGGGGGAACACAGGTGTATGCATATTCCATTATATCAATCATTCTTTTAGGCTGAACAGTAATTATTATAAAAAAAGTGATAGCACATAGAGGAAAGCAAATAACTCCAATGGAGTTGACTTTTGATGCAAATTTGTGTGTGTGTGTGTGTGTGTGTGTGTGTGTGCGTGAAAGAGAGAGAAAAAAGTGAGGAAGAAGTAAACCATGACCTGCCCCCAATCAACAATGATTTTATTACAGTTCAATATAGTAGATTTGGTTCATTTCAGAATTGTGTCACACTTGACTTGCTAAAAATTTAAAACATTGTTGATTTGATTTTAGTAAGTAATCACATACTGATTGATTGATTTTGTAATGATTTTTTTTAACAAATCAAAATAATTGTTTTTCTATCAGTTAATGATCTGATGATTGACTTTTTTTCTTGATCTAACAGAAAGAGTTCAACTGTAACACAACCTATGACCACAAACCTATCTACCTACATGGAGGTCCTCATTATTATGGAATCCTGGAGATCAATAAAGTACATTTTCATGACACCAAATTTATTTTAAGAGCCAAAGTTACCATAATACCAGGTGAGTACTTTCTCAAGGTTAACATCCAGCAGGAATAAGATAATTCCTAAGCTATTGCCATTCTAAAATTAGTACCATTCCATGGATTACATTATTGTAAAACAAGCATTATTCACAGAAATGTTTTTAATATAATATTATCCTTAAAAAATAGATTATTTAATTTCCTGAAGTACATTAAAAAAAAGTTTTATGGGTAAAATTTATAAAAGAAAATTCAATTTGCTGGAATAGCCTCCCTTTGATAGAGATGGGTGATCATTCTGCTGGAATAGGCCTTCTTTTATAGGGATGTGTGATTGTTCTACTCAAGTAGCCTCCATTTATAGAGATGGGTGATTGTTCTGCTGGAATAGTCCAAATTTTGTAGATATGGGTGATTGTGCCACTGGAATACCTCCCTCCTTATTCATAGAGATCAGTAATCATGCTGCTGAAACAGTCCCCTTTTAATAAAGATAGTTTATCATACTGCTGGAATAACCCCTCTTTAGTAGAGATGAGTGGTTGTGCTGCTAGAATACCCCCCTTTCTCATAGAGATCAGTAATCATGCTGCTGAAACAGTCCCCTTTTAATAAAGATAGTTTATCATACTCCTGGAATAACCCCTCTTTAGTAGAGATGAGTGGTTGTGCTGCTAGAATAGCCCCCCTTTCATAGAGATGGGTGATCCTGCTGCTGGAATATTCCCCCTTTTGTAGGGATGTGTGCTTGTCATGGAATAGTCCCTCGTTTCATAGAGATGGGTAATTGTTCTGTTGGAATAGCTCTCCATTTGTAGAGATGTGTGATCATACCATTTAAATAGGCACCCTTTCATAAAGATGGGTGTTCTTGCTGCTGGAATAGTCCCTCTTTCATAGAGATGAGTAATGGTGTCACTTGAATAATCCCCCTAACATAGAGATGTGTGATTGTGTTGCTGGAATATCTCTCTTTTCATAGAGATGGGTGATCATTCCACTGGAATCACCTCCCTGCCTTGTAGGGATGGTTGATCATGTCACTGGAATAGTCCCCCTTACCAAGAGATAGATGATCGTGCTGCTGGAATAGTCCCCATTTCATAGATAAAGGTGATTGTGCCACTGCAATAGACCCCTTTCTATAGAGATAGGTGATGGTGCAGCCAGAATAGCCACCCCACACAATTTTGTTAAGATGGGTCATCATGCCATTGGAATAGTTTTCCTTTCATAGAGATGAGTGTCTGTGTTAACTAATAGCTTTAATATGTTATAATTTAAAATGTTTCTTTTGTGTTCATATAATATTTTATTTAAACTTCTTGAGGTTTCACCAATATCTTCTTTCTTGCAATCATTGCATGTGACAGAGTAAATTCCACAAAGGTGATATTGGGGAAAAAAAAAAGAAAATAACTCACTCAGAAGGAAAATCCTCGATAGTGCCGCCATTCAATATTATCCAAATATTAATATATGCCAAAGTTTTTTGCCAATATCACCTTTCCTAACAGAATTATTACTCTCTCACAACTATATCAAGAAATCAAAAGAAAATGGTTGAATCTGTCAACACAAGAATAAATACAATATTTCTACAAGTGAAAGTACTTGATGTAATTTTCGGTTGACAATATGAATACAATAGCATTTCTAAATTCTTCTAGTTGCTAAGTTTGTTGTTAATAGTTACTTTGTTTTCAATAAATTTACTTTGTTTTTGCCTTGAAAATGTCCACATTGGATGAAATGTGTTGGCTAATAATGCAGTTTTCCTATTGTCTTTTACCTCTCTCTGTATATATATATATGTGTGTGTGTGTGTGTAAAAATATATAGAAAATAGGAAAGAACTCGTTAAGTAAATAATCCAAAGTTCTTTAGTATTTTTGTTATTATTTTTAAAAAACAGTGCTCGATACAAAAGTAGAGTCTAAATATAATTATTTATTTTAAAATATGATTCCATCGCTACATAAGAGTTCTCATGTTTCAAAACAAGAGCCAAAAACTTCAATATAATTATTTGAATTAAATTGAATTAAAGTACCAAGCTCTGTTCCATCTTCAAGCGAAATTTTTTTTGGAATAACTAATTCCTGAAATTTACGTGTTTTATAAGCATATTCATCATTAAAATTAAAATTACTATGTTAACGGCTAGAGAAATTATTTAAAAAAAAAAAAAAAAAAAGGAGCATAAGGGTTAATAATTTGCATCCATATCTCAGTTACATTCAAAGAGGTCAAGTCAGAGTAAGGTTGGGGTGTCTAAATTCAAAGCAGAAGATGACATCGTCTAGTCTGGTTAAGTGTCTATGGAGATTTCTTTATTTTTTTATATTATTTTTTTTTTTATATTTCTTTTGGTACTTTAATTCAATTTAATTCAAATAATTATATTGAAGTGTTCGGTTTTGAAACATGAGAACTCTTATGTAGCGATGGAATCATATTTTTAAATAAATAATTATATATATATATATTGTGCACCATTCTAAGTAACAATGAAACTCTTTGATATCAAAAAAAACTTTAAGGGTGTGTGTGTTTTTTATTGATTTTTTTTTTTTTACTTTTAATCATTTCACCCCATGCAAGGGGATATAAACCCACTAAGATGCAAGGGGTTACTGAAAGTGAAAGAAACATTGAGGCAAGAGAGGAAATTAAAGGACCAGGATTAAAGGAGGCAGAAGTTGATGATTGACATTGCAGTTAAATTTTTGAAGATCGTAGTTAGCATGAAAGAAATAATCAAGAAAAAAATTCTACAAGAGGTGCAGGAGAAAAAACTATTAGCATAGAACCTTAAGGTTACAACTAGCAATTTCAACACTGAAATTATGAGACCTAGCTGCCAATCAAATACTGCATTTAAATTTGTTTTACATTGTATTTTTTTAGATTGTTTCTATGAAAATGTTGATATTTGGTTTTACAAAGTTCTATAAAAATTTCAAATAGGTCTTATAGAATTATCAAATTTTCTTGTCCCTTATTTTGCTGATATCATTATGGGCAAAAAATAGGCCACATGATAAAGTTTTTCATGAATTGTAATGAATTCAATTTAGCATTTTGCTGATTTTAAGTTATTTTCTATATTTCTGTCTTTATTTTTAAAATGTCTTGAACCACCTTGTCAGTTTTATATAAGTTTTCAAATGGCAATAAAAATATTAAGATTTTTTTAATGACAATTTTGACTTACATGATACATTTTTTGAATGAAGTTTTGGCAATGTTTAACCTTTGTGCCCACAAAAAAATGAGTGTCGAAAGGATGATTGATTATTCCCTTGACACTACTATTACTGTATACACTTTTGACTCCCTCAGAAATGTTTATTGTTTTAAAAAGTGATAATTAGTATTGTAATAAAGCCCAAACACATGAAAGTGGATTTATACATTTTTCTTGAGGATTGACAAAAAAAATCTTAAACATTATTTATTTATTAGACTGAATAAAAAACTTGTTTTCATAGTTATTTATAAAATGGTAAATAATAAATATTGCATTGTAGTTGGTTTACATATTTTGATAATTTTTTTATAAATTTTTTAATAAAAAGTTTTCTTTTCAAATTTCTTTCTTTCTAAAATGGTAAATAAATCTTTATAAAAGGTAAATAATAAATATCACATTTTTTGTGATGTCAGTGAACACTTGTTGCCACTTTTTTGATGCCAATGAATACATGTTGTCACTTTTGTAATGCTCATTGTAGTAGAGACTTTGTAATCACAGATACAACTATAGTATGCCATTGAACAATACTGGTGTCAGATGCCTTCGAATATCACTCGTACTAATAGTAGTACTTGCTCGATAATACTTGCTTGAATAGTAATCCATGTAGTGATCCGAATAGAGAAATAGTATAGGAAATAGAGTAGAGAATAGTGGTCCATATAGTAATAGAGGATAGAGTAGAAATGGTAATCTGTATAGTAATAGAGGATAGAGTAGAAATGGTAATCTGTATAGTAATAGAGGATAGAGTAGAAATGGTAATCTGTATAGTAATAGAGGATAGAGTAGAAATGGTAATCTGTATAGTAATAGAGGATAGAGTAGAAATGGTAATCTGTATAGTAATAGAGGATAGAGTAGAAATAGTGATCATTAGTAGTCAGCTACTTTCTACATATATGCATTTCCTCTATGGTTACATGGTCTACTTAATTCAATAATGGGATTGCCTGTGTTTGCTCACTGGTGATCTATGTAGAATTCAAGTGTCAGCAGCAATATTTTATTCCTATATAATGATATTGTACTTAGTTCAAATATTTTTATAATCTTGTAAATAAACATTGCTGAGGGAGTCAAAAATGTCTACAGTAATAGCAGTGTTAAGAGAATAACCATCCTTTTGACACAATGTTTTTTGGTGGGAACAAAGGCTAAGCATTTCCAAAATCTTTTCTATAAAAACATGTTCATATTAGCCTTATAAAGAATGGTTAAATTTGTGACGGTGTTAAAAATCTATTGGAAGAGTAAGAATTATGTGTCCTTGGTTACACGTCCAACTCATCTGTGATGAAAATCAAGAGTCATTTTTATTTCATTATTTTTTTTTTATGAAAAAAAGTATCTTTCTTTTTTGTTATACATTTTTTAATATTTTTGTACCCTTTTTATGTTTTTTCACTTGTAGACCTCATCACAACTACTCACTGGCCCACAACCTTAATTAAAGGACAAAGCAGTAAGGCATTTTTTGTGTTTTTTTAATCAGTGGTTCTATTTTCTCCCTATTCTCATTTTTCTCTTTTGTATCTGCCCTTTTCTTCTAGTCTTTTTCTTCCTCCTGTTTTTTTTTATTATTGCTCAAATCTTTGCGTTAGCTCAACCATGCAAAATGACAGTATCTAGTGTGTGTGTGTGTGTATGTGCATTTTGTTTTTTTGTGTGTGTGCATGTATATGAGTAAAGACAGATAAGAATCCAACATAAACATATAAGATAATTTGGAAAACTTCTACTTTAACATGTCTTGCTGCTGATAAACTAACGTCTGCATGAGTGTGATGTTACTTTTGATTTTTGAAACCCTGCAGTGCTGAATTGTTAGTCTTGATCTCACCTCCCAGAGTAAATGCAAACTGTATTAGCTGTAGTAATAGACTAAGTTTAATAAATAAAATAAAAATATTTCTTAATTTCCCTGAAAAGTACCATCTACTTATCATCTCCTCATTAACATTAACACTGGAAATTTTAAGGCAGGTCAACCAGATACTTGGATAAGTGAAACAAAAGATCAAAAACTCTGTACCACAGTGAAGGACAATCCTTCACGCACTCAGCAAACTCCCTGACCTCAATATAAACCCAGGAAAAAGAGGGATATGAAGTAAGTTCTCTCTTCTTTTTTGCCAGAAAGCTGAACAGTATTTAGTCACCCCACCACGAGGACATCATGTGGCACAAGGTTGGTTTAACGTGGGATCTCCGAGCCCGTGGGCTTTGCCAAAAATATGCTCTTTGAACCCGTATAAACGGGTTCAGGGTCAGTTTACCTCCCCGAAAGAGACTCCGCCGTTTGGCGTAGCCTCATTTGGGTTCCTCCTCGCCTGAAGGCAGAGAGTTCAACCGATCAGCCGGTCGTACGATTTCAGACTGAAAGAAAAGCTGGACAGTCTGATACACTCCTTTATCCACCTATCAGGACAACTTCCTACTACAAACAAGGAAGGGTCTCACTCTCACTCTTTCTTCCAATATATTGCTAGCTACAAACTCTGTTGCACAAAAAGATAAAAAAGAAAATAAACCTTCTAAAACAACAGCTATGTATTCATTCATTTTGAATGTAAGAACTAACATTCTGTGCCAACTTTCACAATTCTAAAACCTCAAAACTATACAACATAAAACAAGGGACACAACTGTGTACAAATACAATTTATTGTTAGATAACTCAAAATTGACACTTACATGACCATGACATGATGTTGATTTTTGAGAATTTACATATATTTTAGAAATATTTATTGCAGAATAAAAAGTGATTTTACTGATTTTTAATTGTTTGGTCTTTAGGCATTATAAAGTGTATTTACATCTTTTTTTTAAACATTTCACCCCAAGCAAGATGGGATACCTACAACCCAAACATCTATACACACAACCCAATTAAAAAGCAAAAATAAAATCATTCTTGATAATGGCTAAAATTATAGCTGAAAGCGCTCGGAATTACAGAAGATTTGGACAGTTTCTATACACCCTGTGTCCAGAAAAGAAAACGCTTGCTTGAACACAAGAAAAATTAAGTAAAAAGCTTAATTGCAGTACATTGTCATCTTTAATGAAATATGTATAAATGAAGGATTGTTGCCTAAATACACTTATATATCAAGAACATTATTGTGGAGAAATGTATGACAAAGTGAAAAAGTTTTCTTGTCACACGTTTTGTTCTTTAGGACTTAATCAAGTTAAATTTGTTATGTCAGTGGAAAATAATTATATATATATTATATATATAATATAATATATAATAATAATAGATAATATATAATTAAGATAATATATAATTAAGATAATATATAATATATCAATATATATTAAGATAATATTAATATAATAAATAATATATAAACCTCTGTCCACAACTTGTGGAAAATATGAACATAATATCCTGATCCACATGCAAAAAACTGGTTAAAAATAATGGAAGTTTTAATGATAGAAAAGAACCAGCCAAATCTCAATAATATCAACTATGAACATGGCCACAGTTTGCTGACCATGTTTGGAAAATAAAAATATTCCTATTACTATATAATATATATATATATATATAATTTTTTTTTTATAACTGGTATCAGCCCCATGCAAGGTAGTGAAGCCACTAAGACACAAGGAGTTTCAAGATGGGGAAGAATGAGGAACAGAAGCATTAATAATGAGCTTGAAAAGAAAAGTGTAATCCGGAAGACAGTAGATAGTGATTGATATTTAAATTTTTTCAGATTAAAGTTGGTTGGAAAGCATGGAGCCACAAGCGAGAAAAAATCTATATATAAAAGAAAACTACATATTCAGTTGTGCAAAAAAAAAATATATCCTTGATAAAGTGCTCAGATCCACAGATCATTTGAACAGTTTTTAAACACTCCATATCCAGAGCAGAAATCTCTTGTACAAATGCAAGAAAAATTTAATAAAAACTTAATCACAATGCATTGTCAGTTGTCTTCAATGAAACTTGTATAAAAGAGGCATTGCTGCCCAAATACACAATTATATATTCAATAAATCAAAAAAAGTGCAAATAACTTATCTGGTTGACTAACATAAGAGTTTCTTGTTGAAAATCTCATCAGGGTCCTGTGTTTGATAAATCTATTAAATTTATTATCAGATCTCATATTTATACTCATGCAGAAAATGAAAACTAATTCTAACTTTTAAATTTAAAATCCTTAACGTGCTTGAGTTTCATTAGAATCATCATGACCTTTTAAATTTAGAACCAGTTCAATGTTTTTTTATTAATATTGCTATACATATATATATATACTAAGCTATGTTTTACATCTGTTTATAAATAAATACTGCAAAATAAAATCCTTACATTTACCTTAAACATTGAACTGGAAAAAACAAACGAGTGGTTCACAAGCAATTTTAGTGGAAATCATACTTTATCTCTAAAACTATTGTAATATAATCATTGTGCCAACTAATTATGAAAACAGGAGACAACCTCTCATATTTAAGATTACATTTTATTCAACTCCAGACATTGTCCGTTCTTATTGACCAGTGTGTGCGTGCTCGTCTGTGTGTGTGCATGTCTGTGTGTGTGCATGCGAACCAGGAGCCCTCTTCCGAATGATGTTGCCCTTAAATTTTTATCTGTGATGTCTGAGACTCTCTGACTTTACCACTAGGGTGGGTGTTAATATATCTATATTTGTCATGCCACTCTTTCCACTCTTGCAACCCAGCTGGTTCAGTCATTTTGATCCACATTTGGCAGCTGGGAGGTTACCTCAGGTCAACCCCTCACTTGTCTCCCTTCATGGTCTAGTGTGATATTAAGTGCAAAGTCTAACCTGGCATGATCTTTGATGAGACACAATCTTCACTATACCTTACCCTAAAATCATCTTCACAAGACTTTTTGAACAACTACTGTGGATATTTTTCATTTATGTGTCTATAAAAATGTTCAGAGATACTACACATCATTTTTATTTTAAGATTATGTATTGTTACACCCTCCAGTCAAAAATAGAAGGATTTTTCCTACACAAGGTTTATTTACATTATTTACACGTGGTTCTACACTCAGGATTGTCCCACAAGGTAATAGCCTAGTGGATTAAAGCATTGATTCATGAATTTGACAACATTGTAATTGTAAGTTCACTCCCTAGCTGGGCAATGCAGATTTGAACTCAGTGGAAACAGGGCAAGCAATAAGTTGGCAGTACTATATAACAACTAGCCAAGATATCCCTAGACATTGGAATATCCCCAGTTAAGACCAGTGTGACCAGAACTGTCTAACCCCCATAGGTTAAATAAAGGGCTCAGCTTTAAATTCCTTGAAGGTTACCCATATCAACAAATATTTGATGAAACTTGGAAGGCATAACAATTGAAGTGAGATAATGACAATGAAGATGAGAACAATAGTCCACATGTAAATAATGTAAATAATAACTCCTCATCCCAGAAATTCAGACAGAAACAGTATATTTTGCCATTTTCTTATCAGTATTTTATTTAAATAAACTACAATTCTCCTCTTCCAGCTTTTCACAAAAATTACATTTTCTGAAACTAAAAAGCCACCATGCAATTTTCTGCTCATGAAGTTCCTAATTGATCCTAAAGCAAATGTTTGCCTTCCCTCAAGATGACCACACCTTGAAAAAAACTTTTCTCACTGCTTCTGTATTTCTCAGGTACTAAACAAACTTCTTTAGATCCTTCCAGCCATACGCTTCTCCTGGCAATTGGGATAGTTATTCCTTTGATCCTGTTGGTTGCGAGCGCCTTTACTTACCATGTGTGGCACCGAAGCCAGCAGCGTCTTAGTAATGTCAACAGCTCAAGTTTTACCTTTTCCAGAATATTGAGACAGAGACGAGATGGTAAGTGGATTTTGTTAATTTATCCATTTCTTAATGTTTTTGAGATGAGTCTATAATCCAAGGTATTTCTTTAACTTAATATTCCATGTCTATATGAAATCCTGTTATAAAAGTTGTTCTTGTGGCGTAGACATCTGTTTCTGTTGTGACCGCCTAGAAGAGACTCTATAATGAAAGACAAATTCCAGCTTGTTAATATATTGTTAGTACTTGTTAGCACAGATAACTGCTGATGAGTGATTTAAGTCACTTGTAAAAAAGAAATTGATTTTAGTAACTTGTCCCAAAGAAATTGATTTAAGTCAATTGTACCCAAGAAATTGATTTAAGTCACTTGTACCCAAGAAATTGATTTAAGTCACTTGTACCCAAGAAATTGATTTAAGTCACTTGTACCCAAGAAATTGATTTTAGCAACTTGTATGCAAGCATTAAAAACTTGTACCCAATATTTTAGCAAATTGTACCCTAGAAATGTTGAACCAGATTGATTTCAATTCAAGACAAATATCCTCTTTTTTTAATACATATATAAATTTATTTATTTACTTTTTCTTTATGGTCAGATTTAGAATTATAATTGTGTAGTTACTAGTATTTATAAGTATATTCTTATTTATTTATATGTATGTTTATGTTCTTTTATTAATATCTATTTTGTTTGCATGTGTATTTTTCATTTCTTTTATATAGGATGGATGTGTATTTCTATGCATGTATTTACAATTATGTGAATCATAGGTGTTTGTATATGTATATATACAATGTTATTATGTTACTTGTATATAAATTACAGTTAAGATATATATATTGGATTTATTGGAAGTTATATATTCACATGTATATGTATCTCTCTCTCTCTCTCTCTCTATATATATATATATATATATGAATGTGTGTGTATATATATGTGTATGTATGTGTGTGTATATATATGTGTATGTATGTGTGTGTATATATATGTGTATGTATGTGTGTGTGTATAGATATGTGTATGTATGTGTGTGTGTATATATATGTGTATGTATGTGTGTGTGTATATATATGTGTATGTATATGTATGTGTGTATATATGTGTGTATGTATATGTATGTGTGTGTATATATGTGTGCATGTATGTGTTTGTGTATATATTGTGATGTGTGATGAAAGCAGATAGCCTAAATACGCATATGATAGGGTTAATTTCGCCTAGCAACAGAATAAAGGTCACATGTGAGTCTTATGACATTTTGGGAAGGCAGGTCAGAAGGTTGACCGACCCAATTAACCGTAGCAACAAATGTCTAGACAGAAGCTAGACAGGGGACGGGTGTAAGTTAGAATTCGTGCCCAAAACATAAGACACGTGACAGTCAGAGATTCACTCTGTGCATGATAGATGTTATTGTTATGATAAATATTCTCTCTGACAGATGTAGTCTTGTCATGAGAAGATAACACTCCTGTAGGTATAGCGATACTGCCTTTTATACAGTACCTAATTTACATATGACTACACATCCCTGAACTTAAGAGGCTTTATACTTTTAGTTGAACTTTAACTTTTATGAACAATCCTGGGAGACATAATCTTTCTCTAAGAGTGAGTCTCTTCATTTCTTTTTATAGAACATCTAGGTCTTAACTGATTCTCCTCATTTAAATCCTCATAATACCTCTGATCACTCTTGTCCCCAGATTTTTCATCACTAATACTGGATACACTCATTCTCTCCTCCCTCTCCTGTTCTTCACTTTCATATCTCTGGTGGTCTTCCTAATCACTCTCAATACTGGATTCATTCATCCTTTCTTGTGTCATCTGTTCTTCTGCTTCCTCTTTCTTTTCCATGCTCTCTTGAGGTTCTAAATTGGTCTTCCTGATCCAGCATGCTCTGCCCATTCTTTGTTAACATAGCTGTGTTAAATACCTTTTGCAGCACAAAATACACATTTTCAGAACTTGAATATTAGTCCTTTCTGTATCATACACTTTCATTTGGTGCAAATGACATGGTAATCAGAACATTTATATAGCTTTCATTTGTTGCAAATGACATAGTAATCAGAACTTTTATATAGCTTTCATTTGTTGCAAATGACATGGTAATCAGAACTTTTATATAGCTTTCATTTGGTGCAAATGACATGGTAATCAGAACTTTTATATAGCTTTCATTTGGTGCAAATGACATGGTAATCAGAACTTTTATATAGCTTTCATTTGTTGCAAATGACATGGTAATCAGAACTTTTATATAGCTTTCATTTGTTGCAAATGACATTGTAATCAGAACTTTTATATAGCTTTCATTTGGTGCAAATGACATGGTAATCAGAACTTTTATATAGCTTTCATTTGGTGCAAATGACATTGTAATCAGAACTTTTATATAGCCTTCATTTGGTGCTAATGACATGGTAATCAGAACTTTTATATAGCTTTCATTTGGTGCAAATGACATGGTAATCAGAACTTTTATATAGCTTTCATTTGCAAAATGACATGGTAATCAGAACTTTTATATAGCTTTCATTTGTTGCAAATGACATGGTAATCAGAACTTTTATATAGCTTTCATTTGTTGCAAAATGACATGGTAATCAGAACTTTTATATAGCTTTCATTTGTTGCAAAAATGACATTGTAATCAGAACTTTTTATATAGCCTTCATTTGGTGCTAATGACATGGTAATCAGAACTTTTATATAGCTTTCATTTCATTTGTGCAAATGACATGGTAATCAGAACTTTTATATAGCTTTCATTTGGTGCAAATGACATGGTAATCAGAACTTTTATATAGCTTTCATTTGTTGCAAAATGACATGGTAATCAGAACTTTATATAGCTTTCATTTGTTGCAAATGACATGGTAATCAGAACTTTTATATAGCTTTCATTTGTTGCAAATGACATGGTAATCAGAACTTTTATATAGCTTTCATTTGTTGCAAATGACATGGTAATCAGAACTTTTATATAGCTTTCATTTGTTGCAAATGACATGGTAATCAGAACTTTTATATAGCTTTCATTTGTTGCAAATGACATGGTAATCAGAACTTTTATATAGCTTTCATTTGTTTCAAATGACATTGTAATCAGAACTTTTATATAGCTTTCATTTGGTGCAAATGACATTGTAATCAGAACTTTTATATCAAAGCTTTCATTTTCATTTGCAAATGACATTGTAATCAGAACTTTTATATAGCTTTCATTTGGTGCAAATGACATTGTAATCAGAACTTTTATATAGCTTTCATTTGTTGCAAATGACATGGTAATCAGAAATTTTATATAGCTTTCATTTGTTGCAAATGACATTGTAATCAGAACTTTTATATAGCTTTCATTTGGTGCAAATGACATTGTAATCAGAACTTTTATATAGCTTTCATTTGGTGCAAATGACATGGTAATCAGAACTTTTATATAGCTTTCATTTGGTGCAAATGACATGGTAATCAGAACTTTTATATAGCTTTCATTTGGTGCAAATGACATTGTAATCAGAACTTTTATATAGCTTTCATTTGTTGCAAATGACATGGTAATCAAAACTTTTATATAGCTTTCATTTGGTGCAAATGACATTGTAATCAGAACTTTTATATAGCTTTCATTTGTTGCAAATGACATGGTAATCAGAACTTTTATATAGCTTTCATTTGTTGCAAATGACATTGTAATCAGAACTTTTATATAGCTTTCATTTGGTGCAAATGACATTGTAATCAGAACTTTTATATAGCTTTCATTTGTTGCAAATGACATGGTAATCAGAACTTTTATATAGCTTTCATTTGTAATTTGCAAATGACATTGTAATCAGAACTTTTATATAGCTTTCATTTGGTGCAAATGACATTGTAATCAGAACTTTATATAGCTTTCATTTGTTGCAAATGACATTGTAATCAGAACTTTTATATAGCTTTCATTTGGTGCAAATGACATTGTAATCAGAACTTTTATATAGCTTTCATTTGTTTCAAATGACATTGTAATCAGAACTTTTATATAGCTTTCATTTGGTGCAAATGACATTGTAATCAGAACTTTTATATAGCTTTCATTTGTTGCAAATGACATGGTAATCAGAACTTTTATATAGCTTTCATTTGTTGCAAATGACATTGTAATCAGAACTTTTATATAGCTTTCATTTTTGCAATTTGCAAATGACATTGTAATCAGAACTTTTTATATAGCTTTCATTTGTTGCAAATGACATTGTAATCAGAACTTTTATATAGCTTTCATTTGTTGCAAATGACATGGTAATCAGAACTTTTATATAGCTTTCATTTGTTGCAAATGACATGGTAATCAGAAATTTTATATAGCTTTCATTTGTTGCAAACGACATTGTAATCAGAACTTTTATATAGCTTTCATTTGGTGCAAATGACATTGTAATCAGAACTTTTATATAGCTTTCATTTGTTGCAAATGACATTGTAATCAGAACTTTTATATAGCTTTCATTTGGTGCAAATGACATTGTAATCAGAACTTTTATATAGCTTTCATTTGTTGCAAATGACATTGTAATCAGAACTTTTATATAGCTTTCATTTGTTGTAATCAGAAAATGACATTGTAATCAGAACTTTTATATAGCTTTCATTTGTTGCAAATGACATTGTAATCAGAACTTTTATATAGCTTTCATTTGTTGCAAATGACATGGTAATCAGAACTTTTATATAGCTTTCATTTGGTGCAAATGACATGGTAATCAGAACTTTTATATAGCTTTCATTTGTTGCAAATGACATGGTAATCAGAACTTTTATATAGCTTTCATTTGTTGCAAATGACATTGTAATCAGAACTTTTATATAGCTTTCATTTGGTGCAAATGACATTGTAATCAGAACTTTTATATAGCTTTCATTTGTTGCAAATGACATTGTAATCAGAACTTTTATATAGCTTTCATTTGTTGCAAATGACATGGTAATCAGAACTTTTATATAGCTTTCATTTGGTGCAAATGACATGGTAATCAGAACTTTTATATAGATTTCATTTAGTTGCAAATGACATGGTTTTCAGAACTTTTATATAGCTTTCATTTGTTGCAAATGACATGGTAATCAGATATTATAGCTTTCATTTGGTGCAAAATGACATGGTAATCAGAACTTTTATATAGCTTTCATTTGTTGCAAATGACATTGTAATCAGAACTTTTATATAGCTTTCATTTGTTGCAAATGACATGATAATCAGAACTTTTATATAGCTTTCATTTGGTGCAAATGACATTGTAATCCGAACTTTTATATAGCTTTCATTTGGTGCAAATGACATGGTAATCAGAACTTTTATATAGCTTTCATTTGGTGCAAATGACATTGTAATCAGAACTTTTATATAGCTTTCATTTGTTGCAAATGACATGGTAATCAGAACTTTTATATAGCTTTCATTTGGTGCAAATGACATGGTAATCAGAACTTTTATATAGCTTTCATTTGTTGCAAATGACATGGTAATCAGAACTTTTATATAGCTTTCATTTGGTGCAAATGACATTGTAATCAGAACTTTTATATAGCTTTCATTTGGTGCAAATGACATGGTAATCAGAAGTTTTATATAGCTTTCATTTGTTGCAAATGACATAGTAATCAGAACTTTTATATAGCTTTCATTTGTTGCAAATGACATTGTAATCAGAACTTTTATATAGCTTTCATTTGTTGCACATGACATGGTAATCAGAACTTTTATATAGCTTTCATTTGGTGCAAATGACATGGTAATCAGAACTTTTATATAGATTTCATTTGGTGCAAATGACATGGTAATCAGAACTTTTATATAGCTTTCATTTGTTGCAAATGACATTGTAATCAGAACTTTTATATAGCTTTCATTTGTTGCAAATGACATTGTAATCAGAACTTTTATATAGCTTTCATTTGTTGCAAATGACATTGTAATCAGAACTTTTATATAGCTTTCATTTGTTGCAAATGACATGGTAATCAGAATTTTTATATAGCTTTCATTTGGTGCAAATGACATTGTAATCAGAACTTTTATATAGCTTTCATTTGTAAAAAAATGACATTGTAATCAGAACTTTTATATAGCTTTCATTTGTTGCAAATGACATAGTAATCAGAACTTTTATATAGCTTTCATTTATTTGCAAATGACATGGTAATCAGAACTTTTATATAGCTTTTATTTGTTGCAAATGACATTGTAATCAGAACTTTTATATAGCTTTCATTTGTTGCAAATGACATTGTAATCAGAAATTTTATATAGCTTTCATTTGTTGGAAAATGACATGGTAATCAGAACTTTTATATAGCTTTCATTTGGTGCAAATGACATGGTAATCAGAACTTTTATATAGCTTTCATTTGGTGCAAATGACATGGTAATCAGAACTTTTATATAGCTTTCATTTGGTGCCAATGACACGGTAATCAGAACTTTTATATAGCTTTCCTTTGGTGCAAATGACATGGTAATCAGAACTTTTATATAGCTTTCATTTGTTGCAAATGACATGGTAATCAGAACTTTTATATAGCTTTCATTTGTTGCAAATGACATGGTAATCAGAACTTTTATATAGCTTTCATTTGTTGCAAATGACATGGTAATCAGACCTTTTATATAGCTTTCATTTGGTGCAAATGACATGGTAATCAGAACTTTTATATAGCTTTCATTTGGTGCAAATGACATGGTAATCAGAACTTTTATATAGCTTTCATTTGTTGCAAATGACATGGTAATCAGAACTTTTATATAGCTTTCATTTGGTGCAAATGACATGGTAATCAGAACTTTTATATAGCTTTCATTTTGGTGCAAATGACATGGTAATCAGAACTTTTATATAGCTTTCATTTGGTGCAAATGACATGGTAATCAGAACTTTTATATAGCTTTCATTTGGTGCAAATGACATGGTAATCAGAACTTTTATATAGCTTTCATTTGGTGCAAATGACATGGTAATCAGAACTTTTATATAGCTTCCCATCAATGCAGATGGTCTTTGTCTGATGCCTGCATGCAGAATAGCTCTATAACTTAGGAGCAGTCTGGTAACTAACTCTTTATATCCCAATCAACTCAAACCCTTCTTTCAAACTCACAATATCTCGAAGCTTCTTTCAATCGCTGTACATATTGTATAATAGTTTCATCCAAATTCTGTCTACTTTTGAGAAATTTAGTTCTTTCTGATATAACCAATCTTTTTTTCGGTTGTACATTTGCTTTTATGATGGCAGCAATTTCTTCATATGCTAAATCTTCCAACACTTTGGGACAAACCATGACACAGTTATTTTTTATGGTCTCTCACCTTGCTGAGGCCCAAAACAAATCCATAACTTCATTTTCTCTTCCACTAGATTTGGTGTCTTTTAACTTCTTTACTCTTGCCAATGCTATGAAACACCTAATCCAGGTTTCTGATGTAATGAATATGCATACACCTGGGTTCCCCCTCACAGTAATATGATTGGCTGGTGTCAACCATAAATACAGACTGATGTGGAGGTACAGGGAGTGCACCTATTGCCTTCACCTATTGCCTACCACTATGACAAGGACCAGTCCAGTACAGTTGCCTGCTAGATTGTCCTACCCAGTTACAGTAGTCAGCAACCACTTTGCTACTTCGAACAAATATATCTCTTTCTGGGACATATCAGTTTCCACATATTCATGATCCTCCATTGTGGCTAAGTAACTGATTGGTGATGCCATATTGTTATGATAAGTATTCTCTGTGACAGATATAGTCTTGTCAAGAGAAGGTAACTCTCTTGTAAGTATTCTGATACTGCCTTTTATACAGCACCTAATTTACATATCACTACAGTTATAAATAAATTTTTGTATGTACACTTTTGTATATCAATGTTAATGTGTATTTGCTGTCTAAAATTCTAGAAGCCATTATTATATAAAATAAACAACCCATAAAAAATAAAATATCTTTTGTCATATGACACAGTATATTGAAGTGTGTATAAAATATCTAATATATGTTAAAAAAAACATAATATTTGACACATTCTTTCTGGTGTGGTCTCACACCATTTAGTCATTACACATGATGTTACTTTGAACTGATTCAAACTCATACTGACAGCACAAGATTCTTGATAAAGACTCAAATAATCAAAAATATTTGAACAAGAACAACTGAACAAACTTTGAATAGTTTATCCACAATTTAAATCCTGATATATATTTTTATTCAAAAATTGGAAAAATACAGATTTCAATGTATCTTTGATATTGAAGCGGCTGAAATAAAAGAAGGTTATTTTGGAGTTAGGCTAAAAAATGCCTAAAAAAATTCTTTCATATTAATTAATGGTCATTGTTTCTGATGTAATGGAATAATCTGTCATCCCCATGAGCGACTACACTATAGTTAGTAACTACCTATAAGTATCTGTAAGTCAACAAACTACAGAGACTAGCTTGAATCTTTTCAGCTATACGGTCAAACTCTTTGCCTTCAAGCAGAGAGGAACCTGGATGAGGTTCTGCTGAAGGACAGAGTCTCATTTGGGGAGGTAGAGTGACCCTGAACCCATTTATGCGAGTTCAAAAAGGGAATATTTTTTGGCCAAGACTATGGGCTCTGAGAACCCACATTAAACCAGCCTTGTGCCACATGCAACCCTCGTGGCGGGGGGTAGCTAAATATAGTAGCTGAAATCTTTTCAGCTATACGGTCAAACTCTGGCAGAGAGGAACTCGGACGAGGCTCTGCCGAAGGGCAGCCTCTCGTTTGGGGTGGTTGACCAACCCAATCCCGTTTATACAGGTGCTACAGGCATTTTTTGGCTGAGCCTACGGGCTCGGAAGAGCCACATAAAACTCAGCCTTGTGCTACATCTACCGGGGTGGGTGCTAGTAAATATCGACTAGCTGGGATCTATTGAGTACAACTCAGACATATGCAAGAACTACCGACCTTCCAATAGTAGCATGCACTACTGGATTGACTTGCAACGACCTTGTGCATAACTGTTACCTTATTTCTTATTGTACTGATTTTTTTACATTAAACCATTACTTATTTTATCCACCTTGTTTTTCAAGTATATATTCCTATTACCATGGAATATAACAGAATGGGGACTAAACCTATATTAATGTAGTTCTTTAGTAAAAGAAAATTGGTGTAACCTGAATGCTGTTAGGCCATTTCAGATTATGGAAGGGAGTAACCTGTAATAGTGTTAGTATTTTATAGAAACAAATTGGTGTAAGTTGAATGCTTTTAAGTCATTTTAGATCATGTACTCCTCAGTGTGAATTTGAAAAGCTGAGGATAACTGTATTCATGTAATTTCTTTTGTTTTTTTTTTTTACTTTCCAGCTCGAAGAAATACACAGAGAAATCAGTCCCAATCTACCCAGCAAAGGTCACACATTCGAACCATCGGAGACCTGTACGGGGATCCGTTTGATTTTCTTGCCTGGGAAGAGTTCTTTGGTTGCTTCTCTAGCATGGACTTCCCAAAACCTGTTGAGCTACCCCCATATCCAGGATACGATTCCCCGCCGCCATATGAGAGCGTCGTGAACGAGACACAGGGATTGGAAACTATTATTCAGCCTCCCCCTCCCCCCGCTCCAGCACCCTCAGTTCACCAACTTCGACATCAGTCAACAATGGTGGCAATGCATTCAGACTCAGAAACTGTTAGATCTCCTAGTGGCATGGAGACGACTGTATAACGAAGGTAGATATAAAAGTGCTGTGGATTTAAAGATTTATACTGCTTAAGGCTGTGGGTGAAAATGGAGTTTGTGTATTATGGTTAAAAACTTAAAATTTCTTTCATTTTTAAAGCACTTTTCAGGAAGCCTCTGTCATCATGTGAAGATATATCCTTTATGTTTGATAAACATTATAAAGTGAAAATTTTAAGGAAAATAATTCCCTCCTCTTTCAGTTTAATTTTAATTTTGTTATTTGTTGGCATTTTCTTCAGAGCAATGCCAATCAAATAGAACAGTGTTTGTCTGTCTGTCTGTCTTGAATATATTTATATTCGTCTCTGATATAGACCAATCAGTATTACCAATTAACTCAAGGGAGACAACTTAATATTTTTTAATTTTTTTCAAGATTTGACTCTCTTGTTTTTCAATTGCTTTGCTTTTGGTCTTTACATGTTGTTTTTAGTTTATTTTAAATAATTTTTTCAAGCCTTTGTCGATGTAAACTTGTAAAGTGAATCCTCATTTGCAAGACAACATGAGGTATGAATGGAAAAAAAAAAAAAAACATTTTAAAGATCTAGAGCAAAAAGATTTTTTGGTACTATTTTTTTTTTCTGTATATCTACCTGTATGTATATGGTAAGAAAGCATTCATATTTGTATAAAAATACAGTGGTCCCCCCGCCACCTTATCGACAGTTTTATCCCTAGGAATAAACGATTAATAAACTATAACTAATAATAAGGGTCCCAAACTGCAAAATTTGTAAATTTGAATATGACAAAGAAAACCTTTAAAAAGCGATCCCTTTAGAGAAAGAGGAAAGAAAAAATTGTATGAAATTACTTATTGCTAAAAAAATCTTCATTACGAAAAAATTCTTTGTCCACAGACTTTTCATAAGTATTCTATTTTATTATTAGTAATTGTTGTTTAATCAAAATTTGACCCTCATGAGACATGTTGAAGGACAGAGGGAAATCACGAGTGGTCTAACTGACAAACTTATGTAAACTAAACAGATGGCAGAACAGGGACTGGAAGATATAGTAAAATAAAAATAAAAATGTTGCCAAGAGCTAAAAAGAATAGGATGTTGTGGAGAGCCATTATCGCCCACATCCTGGAAGGACATGGCACTTTAAAAGTTTTTAATATCTTATTGTGCCTAATTTATGAACTTTATTGTAGATATGTAAGTTTAAGAAAAACCATGATATATATATATATATATATATATATATATATATATATATATATAGGGTTTGGTACTAATACTATCTACAATTTCAGATATTTACTGTGGGGGTGTTTGGACATATCTTCTGTGGTAAAGTGGGGGACAACTGTAGTTCAAGAATATTCTCTTCATATGAGAAAGAACAAAACGGTGTAAATCTTTTTGTATATGTATGCAATGGAACTATTTTTTTCTGTTTGTCTATACTGCAATATCAATGAATTTTTTTATTTTTTATTTTGTTCCTAAAAATGTTCCCTAAATATGAAAAAAAAAAAAAAAAAAGATTTTTTGTAATGAAAAAACAACAAAAACTGAATTATTTTTAAGAGACTGTTGCTTTAAACTGCTGGCTATAAAGCCTTGTGCTATAAAAAAAAAAAAAGAGAACTAAAAAACAGCAACAACAAAAAAATCTTTGAAAATTTATAAAAATCAGGAATAATCAACTGTTTTGCTTTTGGGTTAAGGGTTGACTCATAAACTGGAACCATAAGACTGTACCGGTTCTCATAATTTGTCACTGATAATCTTATCTCATGAAAATCATTTGGTAGAGTTGTTTAGTAGGCACCGCAACCAGAATTAATTTTTTTTCTATATTACTATAAGTACACCAGATCACAAATATCATAATTTTTATTTTTTTTTATCAAATTTAAAAAATTAAATAGGGTCTCCAATTTGCTATGTAAATTCATTGCAAATTGTTTGCCCTATGGAAGCCAAAACAAAACACTGCATGATTTCTTAAGATGTAAAAAAAAAAACAAATTTTAAATTTTGGAATTCATAATCTGCAATGCTTAAGTGATAGTAATATATGAAAAAAGAGCTTCAGATTATGGATTTCAATTTTTTTTATTTATTTATTTTTTTTTTTTGCTTTGACATTTTACGAAATCACACAGTATCAACATACCTAGTTTGGGCCTGGAAAATAACATTTTTGAGACAAGCAGCTTTTGTAATTACAAAGCTCAAAATCAAGAGATAGAGCATTAATAGTAATCAATAAAATGTTCACTTATCTTGTTTCTTCTCAGAGTTTTGCTGAGATTATATCCACCTGATAGAGGATTTGAGTGTAAAAAAATCAATTTTACACTCGAGACTACATAATCTGAAGTGAACAAGTGAATATAAGTGAACATTTATTTCTCTCTTTTGTTATATATATATATATATATATATCCAAGTATAGGATTGGTGTATATAGAATAAATTCCAATAATCAACAATTAATATTCTTAAAAGAGTGCTCAATACAGAGTAGAGCAAATATAATTATTTATTTAAAAATTATAACATTAAAATGTTATAAAATCACTACAAAAATAGCCATTTTGTTTCAACACAACTGGTGTCTTATCAAGTGATGATGTTGAATGTAGAATAAAGGGTTTTTAAATAAATAATTATGTATGTATATATATATATATATATATATATATATATAGTGTATTTAAGCAGCAAATGTTATGAAAGACAAAAAAACATTTTGTGTCAATTAATTCTGTTGATCAACTTTTCTAAATTATGAATAATCATTCTTGGATAAGGAGAAAATGGTGTCAGAAATTCTCCAAAGTTCATTTCAGAAAAATATGGTCCAAGATTTCGACTTTTACCCTGATGATGACTTAAGAAAGTCGAAAGCTTGGACTATGTTTCTTCCAACATGAACCTTGGACAATTTCTGATAGAATTTCCTCCTTATCTGAGAAAGATTATTCATAATTTTGAAAATTTGATCAATAAAATTAATTGACACAAAATGTCTGTTGTCTTTAATATATATATATATATATATATATATATATAACACAACACATCGTCTTTGATAATGGCTAAAAGTATAGCTGAAAGCAGTTGTAAATGCAGAACTTTTGGACAGTTTTTACACACTTTGTGTCCAGAAAAGAAAACACTTGTACAAACACAAGAAAAATTAAATAAAAAGCTTAATTGCAGTACCTTGTCAGTGATCTTTAATGAAACATGTATAAAAGAGGGATTGCTACCTAAATACACAATTTTATATATATATATATATATATATATATATATATATATATATATGTATGTGTCAATGCTGCTAGACATTTACTTGCTTTAAGCCAGGTTCAAAACCCAACCGATTTGGCATCAATTGGAGATTTTCCCTGAGCTATCAGCTCCCGGCAGAGAGGAAAGTGAATTTTACGTATTTTAGAATAAAGATGCCAGTGATTCAGAGTGCTCCATTCATAGAAGAGCTTTTGCATTAGCAGTCACTGTTTACAAATTCATACTTTTCTCTCTAAAGTGTTTTGACTGAATTTTATTTTTTTCTGGGCTTATATATATATATATATATATATATATATATATATATATATATATATATGTATGTATATTATTTCTGTATACATTGACTGACTGCTGCAGTCATTGTGATGCACACAATCTTCAAGTAGTCAGTAATTGTCTTTTCTGAAATGGACATTTTATCCTCTCCACTGGATAGCTCAAAATGTTACAGTAAGGATAACTGATGTGTACATAATATACACACACCAACAAAACTCACTGAGAGGGGAGAATGCCTATATAGCTAAGATGGGGAGTGAGACCCAAACAGTAGTAAAATTCAAAAATGCACCTAAAGAATGTTCGATAACATGGGAAACAATAGGACCTTAGCAAAAGCATGTAATGCTATAAGCAAAAGCCCTCTACAATACCAGGTCCTGAAAGTCCCCCATACCAGAACATGTACACAACTAAGTGCATTTAAGCAACTCCTAAGTCAGTATACTAACAAGGCACACTGGATAAAAAGAGCTCAATACCAAAATGGCAGAGCATTTATATTATTTTCTTCAATTATTTTCTGGTTTATATTGACAGACAGTTACTACTAGTTTCATGCACTTACAGGCAAACTTCAGGTAGTCTGCAATTATTTACTATGAAGTGGACATTTTATACCCCTTGGCTAACTCAAGATGTTACAATAAAGATAGCTGATGTGCATATAATATGTATGCACAAACTGATATGGCTAAGATAGAAAAATCAAAGAATCACCATTAATTAGGGAAGGGGAACTAAAGACCAGAACAAAAAATTAAAAGTGAACCTAAAAAGTGATCTATACCATGGGAAACTATATGAACTTGACAAAGTGGGTGTAACACTATGAGCAAGGGAGGCCTCTACAACACCAGGTTCTCAAAATCCACCATACCAGAGCATTTTGGCATTAAGCTTTTTTTAACCAGTGTACCTTGTTAGCATACTCCCTTAGGAATTGCTTACTTTGTGCATTTACTAATATATATATATATATATATATATATATATATGTAAGCAAATATGTGGATATAGATCCGTCAGTATGAAGAAAAATATGGAAAAACAAAAATCCGATTGACATTGAAACAACATTAAAACAGTATACTTGCATATTTGGATTTTTGTTTTTCCATATTTTTCATTGTTGTATATATATATATATATATATATATATATATGTATATATATATGTATATATATATGTATGTATATATGTATATGTATGTATATATGTATGTATATATATATATGTATGTATATATGTATGTATGTATATATGTATGTATGTATATATATATGTATGTATATATATGTATGTATATATATGTATGTATATATATATGTATGTATATATATATATGTATGTATATATATATATGTATATATATATATATATATATATATATATATATACGTATGTATGTATACGTA